TTCAGGGTATCTCCTAGTCGAGCAGTCTCGACTAGAGTCTTCTTACTTGTTTATATATATAATAAAGCTATTATCATTAGCAGAACTTCGGAGTAATTAGCAATTGATTAAAGTGCAATTTATTAACGAATAAAAAATGACAAATGTTCCCAAATCGGGAATCGATAATACTCGAAAGTTCAAGCTGAGTGCAGTTAAGCTGTAAGTCTGAAATATCATCTGAACCCAGTGCCTTGTAATATAAATGTATGTGTATGACTTTTAGAACTGGGCTTGTGGTAGTGCCAAACCAACTATGTAGAAGTACCTCAATGGAACGACATGCGAAGCTACAACACCAGATATAAACTCAGTTGCTAACCGGCTCAAGGACTGGAATACACTGTATCCATTTACTGGCAGAGCTCTTGAGTAGAGTGTCTCATATGCTTCGCGGAATAATGGTGAGTAAACCAACATACCCCACCTATAAAAACTTGCCCACAAGAATCTTATCGTAAATGACGCACATTTCTAAAACTAACCTATCCTAACTGCTAACGCGGCTGTACAACAGAGAGACTATTTACTTACGAACTACTAAGATTATCTCTAAAATTAGTTGAATTCAAACTTACGTTGACCAAACTGACGCCGAAGCAGGCAACCCAGCCCCAGCCGCCATCGGGTGCCACTTTTCTTGGTGGTTTTGTTGTCATTGTTGTTGTTGTTGTTGCTGTTGTTGTTAGTTGTTGCTTGACTGATTTCTCTAGTCTTTGTTGTTGTTGTCTTTCTTTTATATTCTTTTCACTGCCTTTGGGTGTATCAGGTGTGCAATTTCTTTTGTTGTTGTGCCCGTCCTTCGTCTATATAGTAAGTGCATCGACGGTATCTAAAGAATCATGAATATTATTTTATTTTATTTTGTTTTATTTGATTTTTTGTTGTTCTCTTTTGCGCCAGCTTCGTGCCGTTCTTGTGTTTTTTTTTCTTTGAGAAATTTTTCGCGCGTTGCGTTGTTCGTTTTTCGTTTCTTTTTTTATTTTTATGGAGCGTCGCGTTGGGTTTTGTTTGTTTGCGTTTGCGTGTTTGTTGTTGTTGTTTTTTTTTTTTTTAGAATTCTGTTGTTTTTTTATTGTAGAATTTTGCTCGTGTTTCGATATTTGTCGCCAACGCAAGCACAAAGAAAATGAAAATAAAAATTGGGGGAAAAAATGTGTTTTGTCAATGTTCAGAAAACAACGTTTCTTCTTATTGTGTATTTGAGCTGATTGTTTTTATTTTTATTTTTTTTTTTTATTTTTTTACTTTTTACTTTTTACTTTGCTCCTTTTTTGTTTTCTAACGTGGTGCCAAGGTTATTTTTGTTGTAGTTGCTAATTTATTTTTATTTACTTGACTGCTTATGGGTGTGTGTGTGTGTGTGTGAGTGTGTGAGTGTCAAATCTGTAGCATTACCTTGTTAATTTTGTTTGCTTTTGATTTCTTTTCTATTTAGATTATAACTTGTTCATGTAACTTGTTTTTATATTTGATATATTCCGATCTATATGAATGCATATATAAATATATACATATGTATATGTATGCATGTATATATTTATTTATTTTTATTTTATCAAATTTCTCGCGTATTTCTCGGTTTCGTTTCTTATCTGAGCGACGTTTTTTCCATTCGTAATTTACAATTTGTATTTTATAATGATTTATTATAACTGAAAACCGCCACAGAAGCAAGTACGAAAATGCTTTTCAAATATTCATACATAAGTACATATATTTGTATATATTTACCTCAACAAATTATATGTATATTAAGTTACAAGGCACGTTTTAAGCGGAATTATAAAAAACATTAAGTTTAAAGCCGAAAACGCGCTAAATTGAATTTGGAACGAACGTAAAAAAAAAATTAAAAAATAAAAAATTAAAATATTGAATGGTAATATTTGTTTTCTCTTTTAGGCTCGTCTACGTTTCGTCAAATTTTGCCTTAATTTCCAGCTGTTCTAACTGTCTGTTTTTGTTCTTTCTTTGCTTTAGTTTTTGTATTTTATTTTTATGTTGTTTTTTTTTTTTTATATATTTTGTATTCTGTTGCCTCTCTCGCGTTGCTGGTTGGCTGTGCCGCCTCCGTCGTTCTCAGCGTATTCTTGCCGTTTGCTAGCGTGGTCGCTTCGTGCAACGCTATTTATTACAAACGGGGGTGTGGGGGCCTAGCCGGGCTCTCCGCATCGGTTCGATGTGTTACGCGCGACTGTTCAATCGATACTGACTGGCCGTCGACGTCGCCGCCTGACTGCCTGCCTGCCTGCCTGCCTGCCTGTCTGCCTGTCTCTCTGCCTGGCCGTTAAAATGGAGAGAGCAAGTCAGAGCGAGAGCGAGAGCGGAAGAGAGCGTGAAGTGGACTCTATTGGAGAGAACGAGTGTGTGGGACAGCTGCGCTGCTGAGTCAGTGTATATCAAGATCACGTTCTAATGCCCGAGAGCATTGTCTGCTGCTGCTCCTCTGGTCATTTTTTTTACTCAGCTGCCTTTGCCAAAAGCGCAACCCCAAAACAAAACAAATCCTACAAAAGCTACGTTGACTTGTTTTTGTTATTTTTTCTTTTCTTTTCTTTTACTGCGCAGACTAATTACGCCTCTGCTAACTTTTAGCCGCTCCTCCTTGTCTGTTTCTTTGTTGAGGTTCATGCACACATGAAAGATATACATTTGTATATATGTATGTATGTATGTATGTATGTATGTATGGCTTTTGCTTGCACGTGTATATAAACACATGTCTGCAAGCACAAATGTACACAGACAAACATACATGGATGTATGTACATATGTATGTGTATCAGCTCGCTTATGTTTATTCTTTGTCTTGGCCATGGCTGGAGTAACATTCGTTGCTGGGCGTCTTGCTGCAAGGTGCACTCTGTGTTGCCTGCGTTGTGAATTCAACACATTGTTCGCTTATCCGTTGAGTCAGTTGCGCAAACGCGCTCCCAATTTTTGCATGTCTTCCTCTCTCTCACCTCTCTCTCTTTCTTACTTGCTCTCCCGCTCTCTTTGTCTGCTTAACATTAACGCTATCCATCCATTCGCTCACTCCCGCTGTTTTGTAACTTGTTGCTTTTGCCTTGCAGATCTTCGACGTATGATTGTTGTGTGTGTGTGTGTGTATGCGTGTGTGCAGAAGAGTTTTGCTTGCCTATATGCATATACATATGTACATACATATGTGTATGTACTATATTGTATATTGTATATTGTATTTACTTCGGAGAGGGATTTTCGGGATTAATATAAAAGTTTTAAAACCTGATTACTTAGCATACACATGCATACATATTTATTTACGTATGTATATACTTTACTGGAAATGTTCCAGGCTCGAGGTCACGCAGGTTGTCTGTTGAACTATTTCAAGAACCTTTCGGGGCGCTGTCATCAGCAGACTTCGCTATCGACTTTACTGCGTCGTCTGTTGTTCTACTCTTGCTAATCTGTAACCAGTTAATATTCATACATACATACATGCATACAAACATACATCGCAAGTAGATAAACATATGTACATACATATGTATATACAAACATTTCATTATTATGACTCCAAAATATTGTTTTAGTAAATTTTATGCTTCCTGTTGGAGCGAGGAAAATTTTTCGAAATTTTCTCCATATTAAAAAAAAAATAATTACTATTGTCTAAGTATGTATGTATGTACATCCATCTCTTAGCAATGTGTCAGGAAACTTGACAAACAAAAATAAATAAAACATCTATACATAAATTTAAAAAATATCATCAACTATCTGCCGACATTGACAGACACTGAAATGGAAATGAACATTGAAAAGCTGAAAACTTAAAATCTCAAATGAAATTCGCACGCGGCACACACACTCACACACACACACACAAGTTTACACGAACATCCAGTTTCGTGTCTTTTACGTGTTTTTCGGTCTAGTGCTGCGACATACATACATACATACGCATACACGCATGTTGGGCAGATGTACATATGTATGTGCTTGTAGCTATGTAGATTTGTTTGCAAAGGCACTTGCTACATTTACGAACACATACATACATATGTATGTATGTAATATATGCGTACCACAATCGCCCGCTCGCGCTCCCCCGCGCCGTGTGTGGACAATGTTAAGCTGCTCTGCTGGCCAGTGTGTGCTCTCCCAAAAAAAAAAAAACAAAAAAAAAAGACTTAATAAAGAATCGATAATGAGAGCAAGAAAAAAAGAATGCAAACAAGCCTGCCTCATGGACATATGTATATATGTGTGTATGTACATACACTAGTCCATGTTGCCGGCGGATTGTTTGTTACATTCGCTTCCTGATTGTTGTTACTTTTACTTGTTGCTTCTCCTCTAGTGACGTCATATGCTGACACACACGCATATGCGCAAATAGATGTACGTGCCTATGCCTGCGTAAATCTGTATGCGTGTGTGTGTGTCTGCATGCAAATAATCTCAGAGAGAGAAAGGGAAAGAGAGAGAGAGAGAGAGGTGCAAGTCTGACGGTGCTTAGAACTTTCGCGAACGAACAGCTTAATAAGTTTTATTGTCTTGTAAGAGGACAACAGTAAAATGCCTGCCAAAACATACGGATGTATGTATGTATGTGTAGGCATTAGCATACGTATGTATGTATGTATATATTTATATCGTATTACAGGCAACCTCTTGGAAAATTTACATTTTTGACAAGAATCATGGCAAGCAAACAATGAAGAGCAAGGGAGACAGGGAGCCAAAGAGTGGGCGAGTTTGTACAGTTATCGGTGTCGCTAAATCAACTGAAGTGTATTCGCGTCATTTTGCTTTTTGCTTTGCCCTTTATTTTGTTTTGTTGGGAATAATTTGATGCGGCAAATACGAATTGTATAATGCGCTACAATGGGTAGAGAGAAAGAGAGAGAGAGAGAGAGAGAGAGAGAGAAGGAGACTAGAAGGTATGGAGCAGTTAAATTGAAGTGAACTACTGTATTTGATTTATTTACTTTTCTCATTTTCCTTTAGCTATTTCCACTTAGCAACTGCGCGTTGTGCAATGCGCTGTAAACGAAGCTATGGAATGATTCGTCATAGAAAGTTGGCAGATTAAAGAGATTAGTAACTTTATTACTCTCGCTGTTAGTATTCACTTAATCATGTATTTATTATTATATTTATATTGCCTTATAATATATACCCACATAATTACAAATACCTACCTACATACATACATACATACATATGTATGTATATTTGTTGATAGACGAATCTCTCTGATTGTTGTTATTGCTGACAAAGCACACGCCTTAACAAATTGCCCCCATGCAATCCACTGCATGGCAATGGGCGAAAAAGGAAATTAACTAACTGACGCACTGATAAAGTGTTTGATTGACAGAGTGATATACTTTTAGTTCCGTTGTCTGAAGCGACAAAATACAACAACAAACACAACAAGACGACAAATTTGTTTAGCATTGGATACGGGAACAACAGTTAGCTGGCTACATACATACATACATATGTATGTACATACATATATTTCCGGGCTAGTCCTAAATAGTGCATCGATATATGTATGTATGTATGTATGCAGTTCTGGCTAGTCCATAGTCCAAGGCATTGAGAAGGGACGTTTAGCAAAACTTACTCAAATACATATTACATACATATACATTCATATATGTATGTATGTATGTATATAATTCTATAAGCTTGTATTTGACGCTCATAGCTCTTACATATCTGCTACATATGTACATAGATCTAATCTTAGTTATAGCTTTACGTATGTATCCGTACCCAAATTAATTTTGTAGACTCTCCGTAATTATCGTCTTGAGTGCATCCATCACTCAGCTGTTGGCCAGCTGAGCTGAAGGTGAAACTGGTTTCATTTACAGCAGTGAGAATGATAGCAAGAGAGTGAGTGAATGAGTGTGAGAGAGAGAGAGAGTGAGAGAGAGAGAGGGCAATGTATGCGTTGTACTTGCTCAGTTGATAACCCTTTGTGGCATCTCCACAAACTAATACAACTACTATCCATTGCCAGCTGATCAGAAAAAAACAGAGTACATGTACATACATATGTATTACCAGCAAACCCGTTTACATCCAAGTGGAGAATACAATATACGTAGGTGTATATATTGTACATACACATATGTATGCAATGTTTGCTCACAATGCTGTTCGATATACTTTTGAGCATATGTTGCATACATATATATATGTATATAATTCAACATCAATATTATCTCTATATTGATTGATTCGCGTGTTGCTTACGTACATGAGTTTATGCACATACATACACATATAGCAAAAGCTTACATATGAATTTCTCGTGATATTCACGTGCTCTATTTGAACGATGCCCCGGACCAGTTCTAGTCCCAAGTTCCGGATTCAGATATCAATGATTTTTCATTCAATTCGTTGATGAACGAAACAATTGACAATTCATTGAAATTAGTGAAATCGATCGGTAGTTTAAAAATCAAAGTTAATGCATCTGTTTTCGAGACATTACGGAGTGATGTACGTTTATGTTTCGGTTAACGTAGTGATAACCGAAAATAAACGTACATTACTCCGTAACCAAATGCCCTACTATGCAACATGAAAATATGCTCTATAAACAAAGTTCTTCTGTCCATAGGTAAAAACACAAAGTTAAAACATTGGTTATTGGACTATAAGGTAGTGAGATACGTTTATGTTTCGGTTATCACTACTTTCTAGTTCATAAACCAAATGCTTTACTGTGCAACAAGAAAATGTGCTCTATAATCAAAATTTCTTATATTCAATTCAATTGCGTTCCGGACCAGTTCTATTCCCAAGTTCCGGAGTCAGATATCAAAGATTTTTCATTCAATTCAGTAATGAGCTATGCAAATGAAAATTCATTGAAATTTGTGCAATCGGTCCGTAGTGTAAAAATCAAAGTTAATGCATCTGTTTTCGAGACAGTACGGCGTGATGTACGTTTATGTTTCGGTTATCACTACGTTTTGACTCGATAGCCAAATGCCTTACTATGCAACAAGAAAATGTGCTGTATGAACAAAGTTCTTAAGTCCATAGTGTAAAAAACAAAGTTAAAACATTTGTTTTCGAACTAGTATGTAGTGCTATACGTTATGTTATTGTCCTACATTCTAGCTCGTTAGCCAAATGCTTAACTGTGCAACAAGAAAATGTGCTCTATAAAGAAAGTTTATTATATTCAAATCAATATATCGTGCGCCAGACCAGTTCTATTCAC